TAGATAAAAGGACATAAGCTTCAGACATAAGCTTCAGTTTCCCACGCACCACCATCTTCCCCCATTGCCTCACCCTTCCCGTTTTTTGCTTCCTCTCTCCCTTCGGCTCCCTCTCCATGCTCGATACTGAGCCAGAGTTCATAGGGACTCGAGATCTTGATCCTATGTTCAGACTACTTTTGACGCAAATGCCCTTATTTTGTTCTCCTTATGGCTTCCTGAATATTAAACGGCGCAAATGTGCTTCAGAAGTTGCATATCAAGGAGACGATGGGCTTCACCTGATACTTTATAGCATGTATAGTTTGATCCTCCTCAGGTCCTTGTTAATGTCCTACCATGTTGTGTTTTGTATCTTGTATACTCCATTTTCGTTGCAATTGGGACCTGCGTATCTCATCCTGTTTTACGATTTACTTATTGTTTCAGGTACCTGCATGTCTGTACCATACTGTTTTATGTGCTTGCAACATCCATTTGCATGCGACAAACAAAAAATGTGAACAAAAAATTATCCTTTCAATAAAAAATAAAAAAATGCCAAAAAATGTGACAGGACATACAAACATTAAGCAAAAGGCAGTTCCGCTTCTCTCAATACATCCAATACAGACAAAAAAAATCAAAATTTTAGTATATTTTTGAAAAGGAAAAAAGTTTCAAAAAATAGAAACATCAACTAAAGATGCAAAAATAAGTCAGGCAATCACAAACCAACCACACAAATCCATACAAAAAGTTTTGATTATAATTTTATATTTTTCATCCTATTTTGAAACTGAATTTTACCTACATTTTTTTTCTTCTTATTTTGCTTACACAAAACAAAAAGCACACCAGTTAACACTCATTTCATTTCAACAATAATCTCTTTGAGAGCATAAGAATATTGTGAGATAGGATAATTTAGCAAAGAAATCAACTCAGAAAAACTGTCACATATTTCAAAATTTTGTACAAAAAAAGGAAAAACTGCTCATTTAATGATATCAAGATAACGGCATTATTTTTTGATTGATAGGTTTTGTATGCTTCCTATAAACATTCCAGCTATAGAACAATCTGCTCACTTTTTGCAACTTTCTGAGTATATGATCACCATTATTTTATAACTTTATTCCTTAAAGAGTCATTATTGTCCAATAACATTCAGTCTGCATTGAGTTATATGTAGACATTTTGACAATTTCTGCATTTCCCACTGGGAAAACTGTCATCTCAATCTAGTACTTTTCTTTTTTTTGGTAATGTATTTCATTTGAACCATTCTCCGTTGTTTGGATCCCTTGAATACATTACTGTCGCAATATGGAACATGATGCAACTCTACAAAGGTACTACATCAGTTATTTGCTTTCTCAGCGGTACTTACTACACAGATGCACAGATGTAGCAGTCTAATGTATTTAAATAGACTTGGTTCTCATCTTTCAGTGCGAAGTAAACAAACTCCCTTTAATGTAACAGTTCTTTTCAAAACAGCTGATGGCAAGGCAGTACCAACAATGTCAACATGATAGTTTCTGTTGCATGAGCCTATGTACGTTTTGCTCTGGAATGTCTATTTTTAGAACGTTTAGAACCCATACCTGGACTCTGTGAAATTATCTTGGATTAGTTTGGAACTGAAGCAGTTTTAGAGTAATTTTTTTCTCTTAAAATTTTTTTCACTCAACTACGATAAAGTAGCTTTTTGAAATTCTTCTAGTCTCTTCATATCTTTCTTACTCTCACCCTAGTTGTTCACTTGTATCCGTTTTCATTATTTTTTTAAATTTATAAATAATATTTTCAATTCCTTTTGGTTCTATCCCATATTTCCAAAAACATGTAGTTATTACTCCTAATAGTTCTTACTAGATGCATATGATCACTTACAATCAGATTACTAAATGCAGCAAAAATGGCCACACCCTTAATTACCATACAAGGATCCCATCTTTTGATCTCAGTTGTAGAGGAAATTAGAAGTCTAGAGGGTTTTCTCACTTTGATTCAAAAAAATGTAAACACTTGATATATCAACTGAGATTAATGGACTCCCCGGACTTACCTGAATATTGGGATGAGTAGATGGAGCTGATAGAGCTTCCTGGTGTACTGGGGTGGGTGACAAGGCCTCTGCTGGCTCTCGGGCACCCTGTCTGTCTTTGTCAGCTACGGAGTTGCTTACGGTTTGAGATCTTTCCTGATCTGGAACGTATAACACTTAGGAGATGTTTTCTTACCTTTCTGTGATCAAAGGGTTGGCATGGTTGGTGTTGTGCTGATGTTAACACATTGTTAAGTTCCAATTCCCTCAATATTTTCTCTGACTTGGCATGTGAGTGCCACAGTAAATTGTCATGTTGCCTTTGACTACTACTCAATATTGCAAGACTAACTTGGCACTATTAAGGCACCCATTAATTTGTATATTGCCTTTCTCTGAATGCAATGTGTGCTTATGTTGAATATTAGCAGTCTATTTCTTACATGGTATCTTTCAATGCAGACTGTATTAAAAAAACAAAATTAAATTATTCATGTGTACAATCAGGAGGTATCATGACCAATGTCTGAAAAAAATAATTGTTTTCAGTCATTCTTGTTTGTTTTTGGTTTTAATGACATTAAGTCACCTATTTATTTGGTTCTGGCAAAATTTAGTAAATTTTTTAGTTTATTTACCGAATGTTGGCCAACCGTTAATCTCTATGGCCTAATGGTAGCGGCTGTCAGCCAGAGGGCAAGAAGTTAAATAACTCTCAGTATAAGGGTTGACCATGTGACAGCTGGCTTGTTAGCTAGTCATGGCTTTAAAATTTTATTGGGATATTTTAATGGGATATTAAAATGCCCTAACATATCATATTACGCATTTACTAAACATAAATAAAACTAGTGACTGGGCAGCCATTGTATTATAATTAGAGCCCCTACACAAGGGTGTATGTTACTAGCAACTGACAGAAACAGCTGCCCAGTCAATCGTTTTTTATTACAATGAGCACATTGGCTGCTCGCTGTTTAGCAGACATGCCCATTCACAGCTTAGTGAGTGATCGGAGAGTGGGAGGTATCAAAATGTTAGTATGCCAGGTAAACAATAAATGACCGAATGAGTTAAAATGACCGAATGAGTTAGGGGTTTTGTGTTCATGTCCTAACAAAAAAATATAAAGATATAAATTTATATTACTTATTTCCCAGGATTTCTATCAAAATTACTATTTACACTGTTGGCAAGCTACATTGACACACATACATGTTTATCATATTTATTTATTTTACTTTGCTTTCTTTGTTTCTAACAGAGATCGGATTTTTTAATCTACATTAATAAAAGATTTTCCATTTATCTGCGATCAGATTTTATAGTTTGATTAGTTGATTGAAAATAGGTCGAGGACAGTGAAAACATTTTCTTTCTACCTCTTTCTATGTTGCTATGGCATTCGGCTTTCTGTGCAATGTAATGATGGTATTTGTGCCAACAAAATTTGGACCTGTAACTCGGATGGGCATGGTTTCATGTTTATGTACATTAGCTGGCAAGAATAGAACCTATTTAGTGCAGGTGCGGATAAACTTGATCCAAACCCTGTGTGTTTGTTTTTTATTGCAATTGGCCCATGCAATTCATCCAACAAACACTAAAGGAAATACTGTTGCAATTTCTATAGTTTTTATTCTATGACCGAATTCCAATTTGACTACAAACTTCAAATTACTTACATTAATCACAAATTCTATTTACGTTAAATCGAACATTAGCAAAAAGCCAGGTAGCATGATACAAAAGTTGGAAAAATCTTTAAAAAAAATCACAGAGAGTTATTTTGTTAATCCAGAAAGCCGAGTAACAAAGTTTCAGTATTTTTTTTACATTTAAATATAAATGAATATGTTGTTTTAGTTGTGTCTGTTGCCTAAAGACACTAGTACAAACTAATTCTTTTTAAATGTCACAAAATGTGAATTTATTGAGTTCTCATTTGTAAGTCCATTCAAGTTTTCTTGTAACCTTGCAGAACGCAAGTCGGCTATGCACATCTGATTAAATAAAATAATGTAGTCTGGCATAAATTGGTTACCGCTAAATAAATATTTATGAACTGGCCCAAAGTTTTCATGTGTTGTAGTTTGTTATGCTAATAGAAAAGCAATATGAGATTCTGTAATCACGCTGTTTTACTTTCTTGATAACATGAGGCTGGTCCATAAATTTTGTTAATGCAGAGTAAGATCAACCAATATTTACTTCTTTAATGTTCCTTAATATGCTTGTTTCTCACACGAAGAAAACATAAATTTGTGATATTGCTTACAGATATGTAATAAAAGAAAACTAACTAAAAGAGTAAATACCAGAAAGAAATTATCCAGAAATAATCAAATTTATATAAACATAGCATTTTGTACCCGCTGTGATTCTAATATTATTATTATTATTATTATTATTATTATTATTATGTTATTATTTATATAGCGACAACAAATTCCGCAGCACTTTACAGGGGGTGGACGTACAAACATGTAGTCGTAACCAGACATATTGGACACACAGGAACAGAGGAGTTGAGGGCCCTGCTCAATGAGCTTACATGCTAGAGGGAGTGGGGTAAAGTGACACAAAAGGAAAGGATAGCATTGGACGATTGACAGTTGCAAGAAAGGAATCAGTCGGGAGCTATTAACAGTTTAATTGATATTGATATCATTACTCTATAAATGATAGACAGAGTAAGTGGCACGTGTTCATTTTTCATTAGTTTCATTCTCGACTCTGTCATTCTTTAGGTTTGGGTAAGTCATGAGGAGGATCTAGGTAACTGACTCCTCTGAATGTGAAGACTTCCAAACCTGGGAGTAAGAAGCTTTTGGGATACTATGTGTCTGAAGCAGAACTCTACAATCTGGCTAAGAATTACCAATGGACCTTACCCAATCTTGGCATGAAGAATTGTCAAACATTGTAGGATCCAGATGTACAGAGGTATAGACTTCAAGCATCGTAACCAGGGCTGCCATCAGAAATGTTGGGGCCCCTGACAAAGTTCAAGGTCTGGGCCCCCAGTGCCCACTCACGAGTCCGCCCACAGGGCCATCCTTGAATCTGCCAACAAAGATGCATTATGTGTGTAGAGTGAATGCAGAGTCTGTGTGTGTAGTCAATGCAGTGTGTGTTTAGTGGATGCAGTGTGTGTAAAGTGGCCAAATGTAGATCCGAATCTGTTGTAAGTCCCAGAATGCTTTGCTAGCTATGGATCTATAATTTGCAGGGCTGTATTTAGCACACAGCAGTGTATGTTTGTTTGAATATAAACATGGTTTTGAATGGAGTATGTGTGTATTTGAATGTTGGTGTTTGAATGCAAGCGTGCATTTGTCTGTAGTATATAAACACACACACACACACCCTGACATACATGCAAATACACAGACACAGTTACACATATTGGCACATAGTTACACACACATACACTCAGGTTCACACTGACACAGATACATAGACATACACACATATACACAGACACACTCAGGTGCAAACTGACACACAGATACAGACACATACACACACTGATACACACATGCACACACATAGGAGATACAGGCACATGCATTGACATACATGAAAATATACAGACACAATTACACACACATACATTCACGTGCACACTAACACCCAGATACAGACACACAGATACACACACAGACACAGATACACACTCAGGTGCAATCTGGCACCCAAATATACACAGACACACACATAGATACACACACATGCACTCTGATACATACACACACATAGGACACATACAGACACACACTGACATACATGTAAATACACCGACACACAGATATACACACTGAAAGATACAGACACACACACACTCAGGTGCACATTGACAGATACATACAGACACACAAACAGATACACATAAAAACAAAATATAAATAAAATATATGTGTAAAAATGTAGAGAAACAATAATAAAGTAATCAATTCTATGGGCAGATTCACACCAAATAAACACAGCTTTTTGGTTGAGAATCTCAGAAAAAAAAGAAAGCGTGAGCGCTCTAGATAGATATATATAATAAAAAAAAAATTTTTAAAATGTATTGCACTAATTAAACAACACACTTTAATAAAAAAAAAATGCAAACGACAGAAAATGGGCCATACACATAAAATATAAGACAGGCTATGCAAGATAAAAACGTACACAACATGGGCAGTCTGTATGTAAAGAGCAAAAAGCCAGGACAGGCAGCGTCAAATAGAAAAGATATACATTACAACAAAGTTATCAAAACAAACTAACAATCTGATTAAACATTTAAATAGAACCCCAACTAAAACTAAAATAATTGGGGCATATCAACTAAGTAGTGAAAATTATTGTGGACAAAAAGTGTACATAAAAATCAAATACAGTCACTAGAAAACCATGATCATAAAAGCTGCAGCACTGCTATAAAAAAAAAAAATAATCAAAGAATAAAACAATAACAAAAACATACACTCAGGTGCACACTGCCAACCAGATACAAACAAACACATAGATACACACAATGATACATCCACAGACACAGACACACACACTCAGGTACACATACATACTGACACACTTTTTTAACCACCCTCCTGGTTCTTACCTGCAGGAGGGTGGACTCTGCTGGCTGGGGCTGGGGCTGATGTGGGTGTGAGTCTGACTCTGTCCTCCTCTTCACACTCGCCAGTGCTTCCTCCCACCCTCATGGTTCTTACCTTTAGGATGCAGGAGGGTGGACTCTGCTGGCTGGGGCTGATGCTAATGTGGGTGTGGGTGTGGGTCTGACTCTGTCCTCCTCTCCTCTTCACACTCCCCGGTGCTTCCTCCCGCGCGGGTGTTAGCTGGGAGGAAGTGAGCTCACTTCCTCCCAGCAGTGCCACGATCCTTAAAGGGGCCCAGACTAGCTATTAAAAATCTGCAGCACTGATCGGGCCCCTTTAGAGATATGCCCATCGGGTGGTCTTAAGTGCATGGGCCACCTGATGGGCCCCCTCAGATAGTTATGCCACTGCCAAAACACATACATATAGCGATAAACGCTATATATATGTATGCACATTGGGAATGGGGGGGCCTGGGTGCCTGGGCCCCCCAGGACCGCCGGGCCCATGACAACAGTCATGGTTGTCACCCCCTGATGGCGGCCCTGATCGTAACCACTACAGCCTGTAGTGTCAGGAGTACCCTTTCCCTTATTTCCCCTCTTACCCCGCTTACCAAGGTCCCTGCCAAGTAGCTGATTTCCTATAAAGCTGGTGACAACATCCAGCTTTCTCAGAGCTGCAGATAATAAGAGTCGATCCTGCATCAGCTGACCACTCTCTGCCAATTAATGCAATTCTAAGCATATGAATTTTCACATAATTGACATTAGCCAGCCTAGAAGTTCTCTAGTTCTGATGGTCTATTTAGATTTAAGGTGGAATTATACTTCTGGCAACAGAGGAGTTAAATTCAGTATGTGAGCATTTGAAAGACCATGACCACTTCAAATTACTGAGTGGGCATGTTGCTTGGAATATCTCTTTAACCCAAAAACTCTATTGACAACCAAAGATGGCTCTAGCAAATAACGACTCAAAGTATTCACTTAAATAACCCCTGTACATCAATAATAATTATTTACAGGTTTTACCACTATGTTTAAAAACAGTGAGCACAGTTTATCACATATGCATATCTATATTAATCAAGACAACTCCATAACAGATTTAGATTTATTATTTATAAAAAAATTCTGTGAATAGAAAGATCATCAATCTCTTATGTAACAACAGTTACATCACACCATGATGGTTTAAAATATTTTATGTGATATTTGAAATTTGGCAATTAAAGGGGCACTTTAAGCACCAAAACTTAGAGCTTACGTTTAATATAGTGGTTTTGTTGAATTGACCCTGTACCTAATGTGTGGCAATGCAAAATATTGCTGTTTTAACTGTCTACTGGCTGTCAGACTATCAATCATTAAAGGAGCTTCCCCATCAAAGACCTTCAGTTATTGAAAATCTTCACTCATTCGTGCAGAAGCCCAATGCTTCACTATGAGAAACATCACTGTAGGTCTCCAGTGCTTATCTTAGAGAACTATTGGATTTGACCAAAGCTTTATAATCTTAGAATATTAGGAGTGGCTTCACAATGGAATAATAACCTGTGCTAGATAAAAGGTAAAACAAATTTTTGTTTGTTTTTTGGGGGGGAGGGGGGTGCATGGTCTAAAAATCCCCAGATTAGCAAGAGGCAAGAACAACATTCAACAAAAAAGCAAAAGCTAACGATGAAATGACATTCCAAAACATATTATGTAAGAATAATATAGTCTACAATCCATGCAAATGAAAATTACACATGTGAATGGGTATGAGAATGTTTTTGTTATTAGTTGTGTGCTTGGTACTGATAATTCGAGTTGAGCTCATTTATTTTTGTCTGCTACAAAACTCTGGGCTGGCTGTTGTATATGAATCTATGTGCTATTAAAACCTGATTTAATGTGTTCTGTGTATTTCTTCGGTTTGAAAGCTCATGGGCTACTTCATTTACCAGTTAATTTTTTATTTTTTTTTATTTTACTTTTTATTTTTTTTCTATAACAAAATACAATAGTGAAACATATTCTTTTTTTTTATAATTCTATGACAAAATAAAATAGTGAAACATATTTTTTTTTATAACTCTTTATTTTTGCAGATGATGATTTAGGATACGTTTGCAGAAGGCATACCGGTATATGCAGACATAAACCATGAACACAACAGTAACATTATTGTCGTGCTAATATCACCATTTTTATAAAATTGTACTAGAGAAAATCATAAACAAGTAGAAACAGTGTCTCACACATCAAACATATATTTGCTCTTTCTCGCTGTCTGTGCCCTACTACACAGCGGATGTTGGGACTTCTCATAGAAAAGCATTGGTTTCAAAGTTATTAGAGTACATCAACCTGCCTCCCAATGTTTCTCTGTGACAGTATTGTACTGGCTGGGATCTTGTCACTAGTAATGATTCCACATAGATTAAGCAGAGCTTTATCCTAGATTAGTGTCAGTGTGTGCATCTTTGTGTCTATGTATCTGCATGTGTATCATTGTGTGTGTCTGTTTATCTACACATGTGTCATTGTGTTTCTGTGTGTATGTGTATCTGTATGTGTGTCAGTGTTTGCATCTATGTGTCTGTGTATCTCAATATGTGTAAGTGTATATATCTATGTGTGTCTGTGTATCTGCATGTATGTCAGTGTTTGTGTTTGTGTATCAGTGTATGTGTATGACAGTGCATGTGTATGACAGTGCATGTGTATATGCATACATCTCAGCATTCATACACCAACACTACACACAAATACACCTCTGTATAAAACTACCAACATTATATATAAGCACACTCCTGCTTTCAGAAACCAACATAACACACAAATTCACACCTTCATTCAAACATTAATACCACAAACATATACAACACTACATTCAAAAGCAAACACTATACACAAGTGCTTTTCAAATGGCAACTGTACATAAAACACACAACAGCATTCAAATGCTTACACTACACACAAATACACTCCTACATTCAGACACGCATTCACCATACAAAACCAAGCTTACATTAAAACACACAAACACTGATCTGTGCTTAATATAACCCTGCAAGGATGGGAAAGGGTATTTTCCCAGCTGGCAAGGCAATGTGGGTTTTGTACAACAATGGGGATTAAAAGTTTGCCCACCCTTACAATAGAGGGTCCAAAAAAAGTCTCCCAAAAAGGCCCTCTCTAAGTTAGATACTAATCCTGAGCTACTTCACTTACCTTGTTTGTTAAACATTAACACTTGCCTTATTACATAAAGAAGAAAAATACATGTAAAAAGTCCTGATCCTTAATTAACTAACACACTAATTTCCGATTTCAATAGACTTTATAATTGAATAAATTTGAATATTGTGTTTTATACTACCCATTTACTTCAACACATTTGGTTTGGTCTTGCTGTCATACAGCTCTTCATTTTTTAGCTCTGTTGATATCTTTTTATTTTATAAATTATGCCACTGACCCATTTCACATATACATAAAATTGCATTTTTTATTTTTCTTCTGAATGACCTTCCTAGCAAGCCATTTTGCTTTTAACTTGTTTCTTTTGTATTTCTTTCCAAGTGATGAAATCTATTAGCGCAATTGTGTAATATTTAATGAGATATATCCCCTTTGTTTTATTTCCAGAGAAAGGTTCCTGCTTGTGAATGAATTTTCGATATATATTTGTGTTCTTAAATCTGGCTTTTCTAAAATATGGAATTTTGCCGAACGTCTTATGAAGGGGTCTAATGCAAGACTTGCTCATTGCTCTCAAATGACAACGTATTATGGTTACTGTTTCCCAGTTGCTTAAAAAATGTCAGCATTATCCGTCATTACCAAATCCAAGGAAGCAAGCATTCTAACTACGTGACTCTACTAATTGAGACATGAAGGTGCCATCTATCAGGTTCAAAAACATTGTTTTTGAGTTTCTAACTAGTCCCTCTATCCCAATCAATTTCCATATAATAAAAATCTCTATTCATTAAAGTCTTACCTACATGCAGACATATGTAATCACCAGTATCAATGTGTGGGGATTTGTAGCACATTCCTATAATTAAAGGGACACTGTAGACACTGTAGACACTGTAAACACCGCTTCATCTAATTGAAGTGTTTATAGTGCCTGAACTCCCCGGGCACTGTCCTTCCATTCAACACTAAACCATCATAATGTTTTAATGCTAAGCGAGAGATCACAGCAGTTCATCCCTTTTTGTACTGCTTGGGCTAATGAGGAAACATTAGCTTGAGCAGCAAAGGGCAGCTGTGATTGGCTGAGAATGTCAGCTGCCCACTTTCAGCCTATCCCAGTGCCCATTGCAGATATGAATTGGTATGGCAAGAAAGAAGTGTGTAATCTCTGCCGTACCTTCAGAGAGCCACTAGAGCACTACTTGCCTGCTAGGTGACTTTAGGCCGCCTAAATGACACTGGCCATCCTCATGCTTTGCTTGAGTACATACAACGACAGTTAAATCTCCATAGGAAAGCATTGCAGCAATGCTTTCCTGTGGGGAGGGGCTATTTCGTTGGCGGCACTCACAGCGAATGCACTTTAGCCCCTCCTATCGGAGGAGGCGAAGAGACGACCCAGCGCTGAAGGAGATGGCAGATATGGGAAAGGAATGCACTGGCATAGGCTGCTTAGGGCAGTTAAAAACCTAAATACTTTACTGCAGATTAAGGTGCTGGGAAGAATCAAGATTAAAACAGTCCCTGAGACAATTTATTTACATTCCAATATTGTGCTCTATACAAAATTATTTTTTTTACACCCATGTATGAATGGTCGCCCAGCTATTGATTTTATAGTTTTAATATGTAAAAAATAAAAGAATGTTAGTTTGAAATCTCTAGCTTACGTTAATGATTCGAAAGAAACATTTCTCCATTGGCAAGTTTTTAATATAGGTTCTATCGCATATAATAAAATTGGTGTATCCTGAATCAAGATCAAAACATGTTAAAGTTGCTGAATTTTATCACATGACGGGATGCTTCATATTTTGCATAATCTTCCTTTACTACTCCATAGCAGCAAAGACATATAAAGAAAAAAGGAACCAATTGGAGACAGTCAGAGAGTGTAAGATACGCCTTCCACTGAGTCACTTCCTCTTTCTTTGCTGCTCCATCACAAATGCTCTAGGTACACCTCTGCTGATATTTATACTGCTTCCTGTAATTTTTTTGTTTTATATTACAGTTTATGTGAGTACATAATACTGATTTCATTATCAGAGGGTAAGCCCCTCTCCTAAACACAGTCCAATATTGATTCTATGTTCGTACACTTTTAACGTGCGCTTGCATTCGCCTATTCTCTCCTTTTCAATCTAAAATTTGTATTTGTATTTTATATCAGGTGTTCGCATGGGTTCGTGCATTCGCGTACACCTGTTTTTCGTCCTTCAATCTACCAAACGCGTATTCAAACCAATACGCCTCCTTTTACCTGGATGAGCCCCTGTGTTGCTTCAACATTACTATGGGTCGCATACTTGACCACCATAACCCCTAGCAGTCCCTGCTACCAATTTGCCTATT